CAGCTTAACAACTAAGAAGCATTATTCATCTTTACAAGAATATTGTGCCTAAGTGTCCAAGGGGCGTTGTTTGTTTTGTTTTGTTGTAAAGTTTACCATGTCGTTTAAGATGAGAGACACCGGCTACATCGTCACAAACAAGAACACAACATTCGCGTTTTAGATAAGAAGGAAGTTATCGTCAAAAATGTATTCTTAAAAATGATGTTTGCAAAGAATTTGTTTTTCTTAGTAACGACATTTAGTTTATTTGGCCCTCCTGTAAAAAAATAAAAATAAAAATAAAACATTGCATATTGCACTTTAAAAAATCATGACAGAATTATTACATTTGCAACTTATTTATCACATTTTGTGTTTTGACGGACGAACTAGAAGCAGCACGGATGGTGCAGTTTTGCTAGGCTGTAGACATAGAAGAAGCAACATTGATACGAGTACTGCATATTTCTTCTCTAACGGAATAGTGATTTTCATAAGTACATAAATCCTGCTTAAATGTGGTAGTCGCTAAAACACTGGTTACCGGAGTCAGGAGCTCAGACTGAATCTGAGCAAGAATTTCCCGAGATATCTTTGAGGTTGTTTGTTATCATGGGAGAGTTTTTACCCCCCCCCCCCCCTCTGTAACTCTAGGTTAGTCCTATCGGAGACGGTTGTGGATTCTCTCTCTCTCTCTCTCTCTCTCTCTCTCTCTCTCTCTCTCTCTCTCTCTCTCTCTCTCTCTCTCTCTCTCTCACACACACACACACACACACACACACACACACACACACACACACACACACACACACACACACACACACACACACACACAGCTCATGGTCATCAAACCAACTGGATGAACAAAAGTTGTGTTGAAAAAAGGGTAGCGCTCAAAGTTATGTAATTAATATAGGCTCATCTTGGTAGACCACACAAAGCAACTGATATGTGTGTGATAATGTCAGTCTGTTAACCAGGTCTTTTAGATTATATGTATGTGTGTGTGTGTGAGTGTGTGTGTGTTTGTGTGTGTGTGCGTGTGTGTGTGTGTATGTGTGTGTGTGTGTGTGTGTGTGTGTGTGTGTGTGTATGCGTGAGTTTATAAGTGTTTTAAGCAGGGTTAGTATCAACTATATCCGTGGAAGTATCAATGGGTTAATGTTATAGTTAGAAGTCTACTATACGTTGCAACCGTCACATACTCTGATATTTCTGTCTGATCTTCAACTATTGTTCATAAAAATCATTTCTGTGGACACTTACATATGTCGATTAACTGATTGTATGGAACAATTGATTGTGTTGGATTCTGATTTCAACGAAATTCCGTTAGGAATAAAAATAGCATACTATATATTAGGTCCATTTATCAAGCGTGACTTACTTGAAACACTTGATGAAGATAAGAAAAGTAAAAGTATTCCTAGACCACAAAATTTATTAGCGTGATATTGTTCTGATTTATTTCATTTCAAAGATGAAACACAAACACAGAGATAGACAGAAGGGAGAGAGCGAGAGAGAAAGAGAGGGGGAGAGAGGGGGGAGAGAGAGGGAGAGAGAGAGAGGGGGAGAGGGAGAGAGAAAGAGAGAAAAAGAAAGAGAGCGAGAGAGAGAGGCAGAGAAAGAGAAAGAGAAGGGGAGAGAGAGGGAGATAGAGAGAGAAAGGAAGGGAGAGAATGAGATAAATAGAGAGAGATAAAGAGAGAAAGAAAGAGAGAGATAGAGTGAAAGAGAGAAAGAGAGAGAGAGAAAGAAAGAAAGAGAGAGAGAGAGAGAGAGAGAGAGAGAGAGAGAGAGAGAGAGAGAGAGAGAGAGAGAGAGATAGAGAGAGATTGTCCTTCATGTTGAGGCAATTATTACATCTTTCAAAAAGTTCAAAAAGCATCGTCAATTCAATACAACGTTTTATACATACAATAGCAAAGAGCTGCAACGCATTTTCTCATATCGTTATAAGCGAAATACTCAAAGTTTAATTAGCGAAACAATGTATTCAAAACACACACAAAAGTAAGAAAGTGTCTAAGACAACGTACCTGTTCCATGTCCAAAATCTCCAACGCGTCTTTGTTCAGGACTCTGTACTTGGCTTCCTTCAACACAGGCATGGTTGCTAGATGGTAAACAGCCGCACAAAACGCCAGGGAAATCCACAAAGAAGTAGATTTTTGGGAAACGTTTCTCAAGTCTTTGAATCTCACAAACAGCACAGAGCACAGTGCACTAACGAAAATACGTAAGCCAAAAAGCAGAAAAAAGACAACTGATTCTGAAGTCCGAGATGTGCACTTTGGAAAACGTCGGCTATGTAGAACACAAGATCGCAATGTCAAGAGCTGTAACCTCACTGAGAAGTGAAATCGAATAGGAAGAAAATTTCAGATCGGGCCCTTATATATGGAGGGGATACCATAGGCACCCTTAGTGGCCTTAGTAGCAGACAGCCCAATCAAATGGCTTTGAAAAATTTCAATGACCGTCATCAGAATTCAAAATCTTTAACAAAAACAAGCCGAGGCAAGCCAGTCATCATCATCTCTATTGTCCGCCCTACCCTGTCAGGAGTCTCCTGGCTCCCTCAGGGCCATTAGTTCAATCGTTTCATAGAATACTTATCAAAACAGAACATCTACAAAAGGCCGGTGTGTATACGGATATGACAAGCCAGCTTTTTAATCGTCGGCAATGTCCGCTAAATTTTGAAAACTGGACAATGGGTGACCGCTAGGAGTGGTGAAGGTGGTTTGATATAGGCAAGCCTTTATCACAATACTAGTCGTTTCGTTGAAAAGAAACTTTATCAAATCAAGAAAATTTCTCTGAATGACAAGAATAGAGTGGAAAAAAGGTCTCAATATACTGACTTTTATTCTCTCTCTCTCTCTCTCTCTCTCTCTCTCTCTCTCTCTCTCTCTCTCTCTCCTTTAGCTTTTTATTATTCCATTTCATTTCATTTTTATCTATTTTTAAGGGACTTGTTGTTTTTAATTTTTGTTTGCTTGTTGTTCATTTTTTTGGGGTGTTTTTTATATACATTTTTTAAAGTGGAGGTACTTCATAGGCATCTTAAGTTATAAAGAACCTAATCTAAAGATTTGATTGTTTGATTGCAATGACCATCATTAAAATTTAAAATCTTTAACAAAAACTAGCCGAGGCTAGTCAGTCCAGGATCTGATGACATCATCATCTCTATTGTCCGCCCTACCCTGTCAGGAGTCTCCTGGCTCCCTCAGGGCCATTAGTTCAATCGTTTCATAGATCACTTATCAAAACAGAACATCTACAAAAGGCCGGTGTGTATACGGATATGACAAGCCAGCTTTTTAATCGTTGTCCATGTCCACTAAATTTTGTAAGTCGTCGTCGTAACCGGCACAGGTGTGAAAACTGGACAATGGGTGACCGCTAGGAGTGGTGAAGGTGGTATGATATAGACAAGCCTTTATCACAACATAAACCCTTTTGTTGAAGAGAAACTTTAATGAGAAAATTTCTTTGACGTATAAAAAAAAATTGAGTGACAGAAAACGTCTCAACATTCTACTTTTATAAGTTGATCCCCCTCTCTATTGTTTCTATCTCTCTTTCAGTCTCTCTCTCTCTCTCTCTCTCTCTCTCTCTCTCTCTCTCTCTCTCTCTCTCACACACACACACACACACACACACACACACACACATACACACACGCACATACACAGAGAAAGAGAGAGAAAGAGAGAGAGAGAGAGATGGACAGTGTATAGAAAGAGGAAGAAATAGATATATCATCAATGACTTCCACCCCTGGCCACATACAAGCTCTTTCCATTTATTTCTGTCCTGGGCCATCCTCCTAAGCTAGTTCCAAGTGAGCCTCAACTCTCTGGTGTCCATTTTCACACATCTCCTCCATGTTTCCCTGCTTCGTGCTGTCTGTGAGTTCCACTGTAGCGACTATTTTGTTATGTTTCCGCTGGGCTTTCTGAAGGTGTGTCCCACTCATTGCCATTTTTAAAGTCCTATTTCTACTTCTAGATCCTCTTGTCCAGCCCTTTCCCACAGCTCTTCATTTTTTATTCTCTCCTGCCACTTAACTTTTCTGATACTCCTCACAAATATGTTGATGAAAGTCTGAAAGATGGACAACTACTCCCTGGGCATCTTGCTGTGGGCTTTGTTTTTCGGGACTGCTCCTCGCGACAACATTGACTATCTGAAAGAAGTGGACAACGGTTCGTTTCTCAAGCCACAACATAAGCACTGTCTTCAGCGGCTTCTGGCTCTATCCCCGACACACCGAGCATACATTTGGGAGATTGCTAGGATTCTCAAGGTCGAGGACACATCAGAACATTATGTGAGTAAGGGCTCTGTGTGTTCTCTGAGCTCCGAGAGTTCTTCGGACTCTGCTCAAGCGAATCAGTCATCTCCAGACAATGGTTCTTCTGTAACGGAACGTCCAGAGAGTGCGGCCGTGTGGAACCAGTTCCTTGCCCCACCACCCCCACACCCCCAGGCCACATCCTGCTACCTTCTTCCTCAAACGGCATATCTTGACAGTGGAGACGTCCCAACCAGCCTGGCTCCTACTTGGCCGCCTCTCCACCAAGACCTTTGAAATGTACAACTCAGCAATTTTTGGACATTCTCTCCAACACCTTCCGGATGTTGCTTCAGTCTAAGCGGCCATCTCCAGGCAACATTTTTCCTGACAAGAATTCTCAACTTGACGCAGCTGTGTGTGTGTGTGTGTGTGTGTGTGTGTGTGTGTGTGTGTGTGTGTGTGT